GCAGATGTAAGATGACACAGAAAATCCGTTGTTCACCAGTAGAAAAAGTTAGTTCCTGTAAGAGTATGGGATTAATTGCACACCGGCCTTCAGATTTGTGACTTTAGGCACTTGACAGAGCCCTTGGTGACAGACAGGGTCCTCTAGACAGTGATTCAGAGAAGGAGCGCGGTGCACATTGCAAAGCATAATTAGGGAGGGACCCTGGTACCACAGCAGGGCAATACAACATCTAGCAGAGCTTTTCCAATCATGAGGCACTAAAAAAAAACCCCACAGCTCAGCTACACTATAAACTTTCCCAAGCCCTTGGATCTCCCCTTTCTCACTCACCCACCAGGTTCATCTCGCTCACAGCTCAGGCTCATCTCCAAGAAGCGGCAGGTCTTGCCATAAGACAGAACAAAACACTCATCCAGATGAGGCTGCAAAGGGAAGTCAACCAAAAAAAAAACAAAAAACCACCCAAACCCCATCAAGTTTGCTCTAAGGTGAGGTGCTGAGAAAACTCACACCCTAAATGGCTGCAAGGGGCAAATGCCACTGGGGTCTGAGTGTATCGTGTTGTGACAGCGCTGGGGAAGGTGCCAGTGCCGGCTATGACTCAGTGTCTCTTTTCTCTGGTCCCTCTCCCTGCAGCCGTGTTCTCAGTTGCTGCCACACGCTCCTTTTGTCTGCTTGTAATTAGTCTGTTGGCTCTTCTCTTTCTCCTAAATTTTTTTTGAGTCTGATCCTAATCTGCTGTGATTTAAAACTGTTCGGGAAGCTCTAGGGAGAAAACCCTCATTGGCACCATCCCTGCTGAGCTATGAAATGTGGCTTTTGCTGTTTCCTCTCCCTTCCTTGCTCCTGCTTAACTGTTTTGGAGGCAACTACCCCTGATCACTGATCATCTTTTTTCTTCCTCCCTCATACTCACTTCCCACCTCCCTTTCTCCTCTTCTTGCCCTACTCTTGTCTTGAGCATCCTGTGCTGACCCAGAGTACCACATGCCCTTCAGTAACCTCTGTCCATCCTATTGCCAGCTACTCTTGAAGCCAGGCAGATAATTTCTAACAAAAGTCTGGGATAACAGAAGCCTTGGGATAAAATTGCTGTGACTATGAAAGCCTATTCCCCAGCATGCCCTGGTCGATGGCTCTTGTCCTTCCATGCCTGTCTGTCTCTCTGTGCTCAGAAATTGTCTGGCTGCCTCAAGTTGTCTCTCTACATCAGCTCCCAGTGCTCTACGTCTCCCTCCTCCCTTTGCTTCCGGCTCCCCTCTCTCCTCCTCCTCTACCCACACACCTTGCTTTAATTAGAAATACAATGAAAATGCTTATCATTATGCCTTAATCAGCAAGTCATCCCCCAGCAGGTCCAGAAGGAAAACCCCCATTCCTCCTCGCCTCTTCTGCCTCCCCCACCACCTCCACAGAAGAAGAGCACACAAATTGGGGGCCGGTGATCCCAGGTGGTTGAGCGTGATGTTAATAACACCAAGGTCATGGGTTAGATCTCCGTTCGATCCCCATGTGTTGCCTGATCTAGTTGAGAGGCATCCCTGCCCATGACAGGGAGGTTGGATTAAATGATCTCTAAGGTCTCATCCAGCCTAGGCCATTCTATGATACTATGATTCTATGATTCTATGATTCTGTGATTAGAGGACGAGCTCTATGGAAAGGTTGCTGAATGAGATGAACCTAGAGACCAGGACAAGCTGGAGGAAAGGACCAGCAGAAACCTTATGATATTCAACAAGGACAAATCCTATGCCTGGAACAAGTGCCTGGCAGCAACTGTCTGGCAGAAATGGACCTGGGAGCACTGCAGGGCAGAAGGCTTAGTATGATCCAGCAGTGCATACTGGCAGCAAAATACGTATCTAGGACAGTGGGAGCATGAGTAGAGCCAGGATATCAATGGAAGTGACTATCCTCCTCAACTCAGCACATATCAGACTATGTCTAGCTGTTGAAACCAGGTTTACGTCCCTTTGTATAAGGTATCAATCGATTGGAATGAGTTCAACACAGGCCACTGAGATGGTCAGAGCTAGAGCATTTGCCTGGTGTGGGACTCAGGCTTGTCCAGCCTGAAAAAGTGGTGACTTTGGGGATGCCTAACAGCTGTCTCCTGTACCTCTGAGGAAGTTATCAAGGAGAGAGAGACAGGCTTTTTGTAGAAGTGACTGGTGAAAGAACAAGATGCATGGGGTATAAATCAAGAGAAGACATAATCCGGGTATATAGAAAAATGTTTTCCCTCTGGGGACAGTCATGCAGTGGAACAGGTTGTCCAAAGAGGGTTGTGCAATACCTGTCCCCCTGGGGTTTTTTGTATCTGAAACCTGAACAACCTCATATGAGCCCTTAGCTGCCTCAGAATAGGAGGTTGAGCTAGAAAATTCCTGAGGTTTCTCCAAGCCTTAAAAACACTGAGACCCTACGACCAGACTTAAGTGCCAAATGAGGCCATTCAGACTGATGAATCCCCACAGACTGAAAACTAAGGAGGAAAGAAAGAAACATAATGGGGACTGGAATGAGACGGGCTTGGTTTTCTAGCCAGTTCATCCCAGTCTCTAGCATTTGATGAGACAAGGTGAGGTTGAAACGAGGTCACCTCTCAAGGTTAAATCCAGTCTGTAACCTGTCCCCATCCACCAGCAATCTCCTAAGGGCCGCTTGTGGGAATCCTGGGTGAAAAGCTTGCAGGAGACTATATTTGCACTAATCCAGAGATACACAGATTGCACAGTCTCACCCAATTCATGTGATCTTGTACTGGCAATGCAAATTTAAAGCAGACTCCCTGGGGCATAGAGACTGCAGCATAAAAGGCTCCACATCCGTCCCAAACTCTCAGATGATTGACATTTGGCCTTTTCTAAATACAGAGATGCACAAAAATCTCATGCTTTGGAAAGATGAGTGACAGTGGATAAGTGAACAAGGCAGAGGGTATAACTCCATACTGGTCATACAACTATCATGATATGTGTGGGGATAAAGTGGCATTGGGAGGGATCTACTGGATTAGGAATCCTGCATTTACCCTTTCAGGCTTTTGTCTCCTTCACCTCTCACTGTCCTTCTCCACATTCTGTGTCAGTTTGCTGCTGCTCTAAATAACCCTCCTGCTTTCCGATCATATGGCACTAGTGTTTGTCCATGTGCCATCACCTGGTAGGGAAAAGACACGTGCCTTCCTGCATCACATGGATACGACAGGGGAGAAGAGAGTCCTGACCCCTGCCTATCATGCCTTTTACCTTAACCACCACTAGTTTGCTCCAAGAGGACTCTGCTTTAAGAAAATACATGGGGGTCACTGAGACATCCTTTCAGGAGGACTTCACTGAAAGACCACCTGTCTCCTCTGCACTTTTTTCTTATCAGCCTGGCTGCAATCCCACCAGAAAACACCCGACCAGGAGCCACAGGAGCAGGAACTCACCCGGAGTCTCCCTGGCACACTGCCCACAACCCTGCGCGGAGGCAAAGCACCTTCCTGCTGCCAACAGGCTTAAACCTCCTTTTTACAGTTGATATTCATGAATCAGCATCCCACTGCCTTCGGCCGCTGTCACTGAGAGAGGATGAGAAGCCCCAAATGTCCTCAGCACCTCTCTGAGGGTGTTCCGGCAGGGAACTCTCTCGGATTAGGGAATCCTTTATCTCTGGCTTATGTAAGACCCGGAGACTCCTTTTATGGTTGGCTTTTCCTGCTTTGTCAAGAGCAAAGAACAAATGTAGCTTCATCTGCGCTTGTGGGTTGGCTAACTGATTAAGCATCTGATTCAAGCTAAGTACGGAACAGGCTTTTGATGGGCGGATTTAATTTGGTGTAAAATCCAGGATGCTGTCCCCCTCCCTTACCGAATATTCCCAAGATAGCGGTTGGTCCGGCGTAATTAAGCAGCGGAGATGACTCCCACCTCTCAATGCTTTGGAAAGTCCAGAGTGCTCCACTTTGTGCTGAAGTGGCTCCTTTGAGTGTTTCCCCCCTCTCCTTCTCCCCTCCTCTTTTCTCTTCTCATTTTTTTCCCCCTCCCTTTCTTTTTTTTTTTTTTTTTACTGCTGATTTACCACCGTCTCCAAGCATTTGCATTAGGAGTGAGCTCACTCTGTGTGTGCACACACTCATGTGAGGGTGTGCAGGGGGAGCTTGTGGGCGTCTGTCTTGGTGTGACACACTGAATTCCTCCTCATCTACTCCCCCTGCGAATTCTGCCAGGGGAAGCATGTTAATGATGACCTTGCTGAGTAAATAGTTGTGGAATGAATAAGTGTTTTTCCTGCGATCTGAAAAGGCGGAAGGTGCGATTACTCATCCATCTATCCAACTGTCTCCAGCACCTTTCAAGTGCTTCTCGCGTCGAGTCTGGGGGCGTGAGCGAGGGGGTGGGAAGCGAGGGGAGGTTTGCCAAGATCTGGGTTGCCACAGACACCGGCCTCGCTTCTCCTCCAATGAACGCCGTGCTGAGAGTGCGAGAGGAGGCAGGGCACCACCCACATGTTGAGCTGTGTGGGGTATAAGTAGATGGAAGAGCCTGGACTAGTGGCAGTTCAGACAGGGAAGAGAAGCAGCTCTTTGCATCTCTAGTGAAAGCGTTTTTTATTTGACTCATCAAGTTTACCGGAGGAGAAATCACCGGGATTCTTTCTGCAGCAGCTTGCAGCTTCTGTGTGCATCTCTGTGTGTGTTTCTCCAGCGGGGACTCTCCGACGTTCAAGATTTGCGGCTCCAGAAGAGCAGGTAGCGGGTACGCGTGCGGGACTGGACGTCTTAGCCAACTCTTCTCCTTGTTCCTGGAGGATCCTGGCTCTCTCTGGGACACCCTGAGGACACGAGACCAGCATTTGCAGCTGGGAACTGGGAGAAATTTGCCTACAACTCACTCTGAGATCCACGGGGACCGAACAGCTCGCTCTGCGGTGATATCTGATTTGGTTGTGTTTGTGTCCAAAAGTCCTTTGAGGGGGGGTTTAGAAGTCTCTGTGTGTTTTTTGGGAAGTGTGGTGGTGGGGTTTTTGAGGGCCAGCTCTAGTGACAGGGCTTAAAACCTAGTTATTTCCGTGTTTGACACTCGCACGGTCAGAGCCATGCAGCTGGATAATGTCACCAATGCAGGCATCCACTCTTTCCAGGGGCACCGTGGAGTTGCCAACAAGCCCAATGTGATCCTGCAGATAGGGAAATGCAGGGCAGAAATGTTGGAGCATGTCAGGAGGACCCACCGGCACCTCCTGTCTGAGGTCTCCAAGCAGGTGGAGCGCGAGCTGAAAGGCTTGCAGAAATCAGTGGGGAAGTTAGAGAACAACTTAGAGGATCATGTCCCAACTGATAACCAAAGGTGGAAGAAGTCCATCAAGGCCTGCCTGGTCAGATGCCAGGAAACAATTGCCCATCTGGAGAGGTGGGTCAAGAGAGAGATGAATGTTTGGAAAGAGGTCTTTTTCCGTCTGGAGAAGTGGGCTGACCGTCTGGAGTCCATGGGAGGCAAATATTGCCCTGGGGACCAGGGCAAGCAGACTGTGTCTGTTGGGGTGGGAGGTCCAGAGATTAGGCAAGGTGAGGGGGAGATTTATGACTATGCCCTTGATATGAGCCAAATGTATGCACTGACCCCTCCTCCTGGAGAGGTGCCCAGCATCCCCCAGGCCCATGATTCCTACCAATGGGTCTCTGTGTCAGAGGATGCTCCAGCCTCCCCAGTGGAGACTCAGGTCTTTGAGGATCCCCGGGAGTTCTTGAGCCACTTGGAGGAATACTTAAAGCAGGTGGGTGGAACAGAGGAGTACTGGCTCTCTCAGATCCAAAACCACATGAACGGCCCAGCTAAAAAGTGGTGGGAATACAAGCAGGACTCTGTCAAGAACTGGGTCGAGTTCAAGAAGGAGTTCCTGCAGTACAGCGAGGGGACGCTGACTAGGGATGCTATCAAAAGAGAGCTGGATTTGCCCCAGAAGGAAGGGGAGCCCCTGGACCAGTTCCTTTGGCGCAAGAGAGACTTGTACCAGACCCTCTATGTTGATGCAGATGAGGAGGAAATTATCCAGTATGTGGTAGGCACCCTCCAGCCCAAACTGAAGCGCTTCTTGAGTTACCCCTTGCCCAAGACCTTAGAGCAGTTGATCCAAAGAGGGAAAGAAGTCCAAGGCAACATGGACCACTCTGAGGAGCCCAGCCCACAGAGGACCCCTGAGATTCAGTCAGGAGATTCCGTGGAGAGCGCGCCTCCCTCAACCACTGCCAGCCCCGTGCCGAGCAATGGGACTCAACCTGAGCCCCCCAGCCCACCAGCTACTGTCATATGAGTTAGTCCAAGGGAAGCAGCAGTCTGGGTTACATGGAAGTGAGAAAGGGGCGTATTTAGGAAGCTTCTCCTTGGAGAGAGGTTCTGGCTGAGACGAGACATGAGGTGTGCTCAGTCCATCAGCCCATAGCAGAGGAATTAACTTTGCTTGTGGGGGGAGGGAGGTGATGGGGGAGAGGCACCTTAGGATGTGGTTGCCCATCTCACCTGAGCCATGCAGTACGGTGGTGCTGGAGATACTGCTTGCACCACTGCGGGGAACGGACAATTTTATGAGATTCCCTGACAAGAAACTTAAGAGATAATTCCCAACTTCAGAGGCAGCCGCTTAGCACTGGCAGCATTCACGGACTTCATACGAGTGCAGCAATTGGCTGAGGGTTCCTACCCATCTGGATCTCTCCTTCTCTCCTCCCCCTTCTGAAGAAGTGTCCCTGTCCTCAGGAGACATCTTTCTTTTGATCCTTGACCATTTCTGATTTATCACTGGGCTTCTTTTCACTTGACAATTTCCTGTTCTTACTTGCTCTAAAGGATTAATTTTTTAAACAAAAAATTTAAGAAGAAATGCTATGACTTCAGGAACTGAAAACTTAAGGAATCTGGATTATTTTTAGTGTTCTTAATTTTATTGAACCTAATACCTGCTTTAGTGCTTTTCCTCTTAAGTGGCTCTTACTAGTTTACTTCTTGTCTTAGTTTCTGCTCACTCCAATCAAGACCACTGCAGTGCAGAGGCAAATTTCACTCTTTCTCTGCATATTATACTGTACATTCAACAGGAAACAGTTTCAAATTACAGTCTGAGCTCATTAATTAAAGGGTTAGTCTGCTTCCTTTCAGAGAAAAGAGGGTGTCAAAGTGGGGAGAGCAGCTATTTTGAGGGGGGAGAGGTAAGGGGAATAAATCCTTTTATTTGAATGCAACAAACAAACACACCCTAAATCAAGAGCAAAATATCCCCAGAGCAGCAAATCGAGTCCATGCTGATGTGTGGAGACAGCAGGAGCTTTTGCCATGTAAAAGCAAAAAAAGAAGTGAAGAGAGGAGCTGTGTGTCCCAGCACAGTTTCAGCCTGTGCATCACAATAAAGGGTTTCTACTCACACAGACAGACTCAAAATACTCTTGGAAAGCCTGGCATCGCTGTCCTGGAGCACCTGAGGACAGAGCATTGTCTATTCACAAAGAACTTTCTACATCTTGCTGTGGATGGAGACGAGCTTGAACTCTGTGACATTTTCCATGTTGAGACAGTAATGCTCAGCAGTTACCTTGTTTTGGCTAACGACTGAGGATCGGACTTTGAGATGAAACTGCCGTAAGACATATTCAGGAAATCTAGCTCTTCAGAGCTTCTTGAGGCTGGACACATCTTGAGCATCATCTGCGTTCACCACTAGACCAAATAAAACAGCATCTCTGCAAGAGATGCAGCAGGGATGAAGCAACAGGAGTGCCCCTGGGATGCTCCTGGCACTACTACAGGAGCAATATGTGGCATCAGTGGCTCAAAAGTCCTTTGCTGTGCCTCCTTCCAAGAGGCTGCAGGTAAGACAACTTTCTAACATTCTCTTTTCTGCACTGACCTAAATTAGTCATAGCTCATCCAGTCAGAAGCTTGCACTGGGATAAAAAAAGGAGTGGCAGGTTGGGAGAAAGGCGTAGAGAGATCCAGCCAAAGGAGAATGAGTGGGAAAAGTTTCAAAACAGGACAGCATCTTACACTTTCTGATTAATGGGGAAGCTTCTTCATAAGTCCAGCCCAAGAACTTGTCCCTTGAAGCTCTGGGCTGGAGTCCCCAGCTGTGACAACACATCACAGGTCCATGCACAGCCCAAAGGAGATGCATGTCTGCCCTGCAGCCTTTTTAGACATGAGTCGATCTCAAGGATGGGGAGGGGGCTCTCCTCTCACTTGTGCAGAGAGAGTTAGTTTGGCAGCAGCTGTGTCTGCAGAGAGAAGGGAGCATTTCTCACTAATGACCTGGGATGAGTGGTGAGGGAGTGGGTGTCATTGCTGAGGCTGAGCTGGCTGTGCATTACAAGCATTATCTTCTCTTGGTTACAGTGACTCACTCAGACTCTGAGAAGGAATCACTTCACAGTGCTCAGGATTTGGAAGGAAAGCCAAAGAGCAAAAGCTTCAAAACCAAGGATTCAACATCAGACCTGCTGTCAGGATCTCCAGCCACCGACTGCCAGATCCACTGTCTGAAGGAAAGATTGGCACAGGTAATTACCTCTCACCCTACCATTGTGGGACATCCTTAGCCTTCCCAGAGCCCTGAGATATTGAATTGCCCAGGTGCAAATCCCTTTCCTGGTCTCAAGATCTCAGACCTAGTAGTTGCAAGAGACTGATAGCACCATACCAATTTCAGCTTCTTCATGTAGGAACCCAATGATTAGTGCTCTGGGACAGTGAATATCATGTTTTTCTTTTTGCTGGACCATTGGCAAAGGCTTAGATGCCAACACCTAGTGAGACCTCCTGCTGCAGACATCTAGCAGGCAGCTGAATTTAACCCCATCTCCTGCAAAATCCCCTGTACTCTCCACTTTAGGTATCTAGCTGGAGCTGCTGCATTTATTTATTTTTCTTTTACAGAGTTCCCTGCTGCTGTTGCTGTGTTTCCTTCTCTGTGTCCAAGAGCTCTGTTTTCCCAGGGGAGAATCAAGTGCTGCAGGAAGACAGAGGGCAAATCATGCACCAAAGAGCCTCCCATGCAGTGCAATGCTGTGTTCAAGGTGCTGAGAGCCAGAATGCAAGGGAGAAGCCACTTCCAACAGAACCAAGAAAAGTCTGAGCTGGGCCAGGTACTCCAGGCACAGAGGGAAGTGCTGAGAAAGAAGAGAGAAATGGAAAGGCTGAACAGAAGAAGCAAGTCCGGGCTTTGGGGACAGCAAGGATGCTGGGCTTATACTGACTGTCTGTTGAGATGATACCATACCTCTACCATGTGGGGCCACTGAGACTCACCTAAAGAAATCTTCACCAGATTATCAGTTTTTAAAAAAAAACATAAAGAAACTTTCATTATTAACTTTGCCAAATGACTGACCCTACCTAGGCTACGAACCCTCCATGCTATTAATGCTGTAACTCATTTTTCCTGAGTTGGGGGTAGCTTCATTTCATGCGGGTATCAGTTTCAAACCTCAAAGGGCTCCGGAGGTTCCGAGAAGCATCCTGCGGTCCAGATGCTTGTCTGAACTGCTTGAGCCTGCACAACTTGGCCAGCTGTCTTGCCAGAGGGGAGAATCTTGTGAGACAGCAGATGCTTCCTGGATCTGCCTGGACCAGTTACTGCAAGAACTGAAGTTCTTGTGCTGGCTTTGGCATGACTTTTTCCATCCAGATCCAGGGAGTGTTAAAAAAAAAAAAGCTTGCAAAAGACAAGTTGAACAGGACAGTTTTGGTTCACATCTCAGCTAAAGAGGTCCAGTTGGTTCCTCTCTCTTCCAGAGCCAACTGTCCCGGGTATGTGTGTGTGCGTGTCGGCGAGGGTGTATGTGTGTTGAGCAATCAAATCCACCTGACTAAATTCTGTGGTGTTTTGTTGCATTTGAACTAAGCCAATGGTACCTTATGTGCATTCCAACAATGCTCAGCAAAAATGTCCAGGACTGGAAAATTATGTAAGACCATGCAAAGATAGACTTCACAGGTATCATCTCAAGGTCAAAATGGTGTTTGATTTTGAGGCACTTAATTTCCACAGTCCCTTTCAAGGGACTTGCCTGCCTCAATAGGCATTTTATTTTTGCTTAGACTTCCCTGCCTTTTTAATGAATTAGCCTGTCTGTGCTACTTGGTCATTTGGTCCTGAGGTTTATACATTTTCAGCTGACTTTTTTGGAATGTGCAGAACTGAATCTCCTGGACTGATTTTATTTCAACTATTGCTCCTAGCAGATTGGAGCTTTTCTTGTAGCACCCTGGTTTATATTACCAGCCTCTCCAGGAAGGACTGGTACTTTATTTTCCTGGGGCAGAGTCACATGAATGAAGAAGTATGTATGTGTCTGTGAAATTTTAGCAGATTTAAACTACTGGATTTTTTTTTTCCCTTAGGCAATTTTACATTTGACTCTGGCAAAACTAGTTTAGAATTTTTATTTTTACTAGACACATTATTAATTCAAATAACCTTGTACAAAAGGCAAATGCATTGACTCACTACAGGTTATAGGGGTTGAAGCCAAAAGGTCTTTGTAAGCCAACATCACTTGCCCTAGATCTGACTGTATCAGGCAGTTTATTCCTCATGTGTCATGTTGGAGTTACAAGATCACACCAAGCCACTAGAACCTGTCAATAGAATAGTGCTACATTTCGTTTGCTATTGTAGCAAAGCCTTTTGTAGATTTATACAATAAAACTTTGAAATATCTGCTTCAATTTCTTTGTGTCTTGCTTTCTGGTCTTTTTTCCTTTAGTTCATGGGTTTGTCCTCTAAAGATTTAGTCTTGTCAGCCGTTCGGGCTTACTTGACTCAAGAAATCTTTCTCAGCAAAAGCAGATGATTGCCATAAAAATGAAGTGTACTGGGCCTTTGAAGAGGAAGGGTTGGCTATAGAAAACATGGAGGTGTTTTAAGGGGGTTGTTTAACATCAGATTGAGTTAAATGTGGCCCATGAGACAGGGAGAAATGGTCCCGTGTGGGATTGTGGATTGGGCAAGGCTCCTGTTGGGTACAGCTAAGAGAAAGGTTATTGAAACAGAGGGCAGTCACATTCCCACAAGTGCTTGGGAGGTAATATGTGTGGAAGAGCTGAGGTAAGCCAGGATAGGGAAAAGAAATCGATAATCCTGAATCAGCTCTGCCTGGTATCCAAAGAGACCTCATCACACAGAAAAGGCAGCACTCAGCAGCAGAGAAAAACAAAAGCTACTATCAGGCTGGTGGTTTGCTACCTGATTCATTCCCCTGCAGCAGGGTTGTTCTCCATTTCTCAGGTTCATTTGTTACCTATAAAACACCCCTGTGTGTAGAGGAGCTAGAAGAAAGGAACATAGGATGTAGCTCAGAGGGTTTTAAACTGAAATTGAGCATTTTTGCAATGGGCTGGGCTCAGAGTTCTGGCCCCAGCTATTTCCAGTCCGTAGGGATAGAGGACTCTCATCTGCCTCTGCAAATCTCTACTGAAAAGATTTTGCACCTGGGTGGATTTAGCCCCTATTCCCTCCTCTGTCTCTGGTCTCTCTCCAACAAGAAGGATGTTAGGAACTGGCAATGTGCACTTGGGTAAGCCAACCGTAGAAATAAATGGTCTCATTCCTTTCACAACAGGCACTAAGTGTGCGTTGTCAAAACGAACCTCCCAGATGTCCCTTTTAGCTTAGGTTGGAAAGGCAGAACATAGTCTGATAGCCAAAGATGCCTAAAGGACAGCTGCTAACCCTTGTTGT